ATGGCTGGATATGGGCACCAGTGACCCCCATGACCCAAAAAGGAAGATGCGGGTAAAGATAATGGATGGATGGTTTGATGGATGTTTGCATTTATTGTTTGAAACTTGATTTAGAGTTTAGGGTTGATCTGTAAAACAATGTTCAGACCTTTAAAAGTGAGGTTCTTTGAAAGCTTCAAAACAATTAATACTGTATTTATTGTACATAGCTGTTTGAAGGACACCAGTTTGGAGAAAATGTTTAAATTTGGACAAATTGACAACCTAATGTTTGTTTGAGTGGAGCCAAGAACAAAATGGAATACTACCATCTTAAAACAGCTCAAATGTAAAAATGTAATAATAGCTAACATGAACTCAGCTTTATAAACCTATATACAGGTGCTGGTCAAAAAATTAGAATATCTTGAAAAAGTTGATTTATTTCAGTAATTCCATTCAAAAAGTGAAAATTGTATATTCATTCATTACACACAGACTGATATATTTCAGATGTTTATTTCTTTTAATGCTGATGATTATAACTGACAACTAATGAAAACACCAAATTCAGTATTTCAGAAAATTAGAATATTACTTAAGACCTTTTTTTTTTATTATTATTATTATTTTTAAAAAAGGACTTTTAGAAATGTTGGCCAAATGAAACATGAAAAGTATGAGCACTCAATACTTAGTTGTTGCTCCTTTTGCCTGGATTACTGCAGCAAAGTGGCATGGAGTCTATCAGTCTGTGACACTGCTCAGGTGTTATGAGAGCCCAGGTTGTTCTGATAGTGGCCTTCAGCTCTTCTGAATTGTTGGGTCTGGTGTATCACATCTTCCTCTTCACAGTATCCCATAGATTTTCTATGGGGTTAATCAGGTGAGTTTGCTGGCCAGTTAAGAACAGGGATACCATGGTCCTTAAACCAGGTACTGGTAGCTTTGGCACTGTGTGCAGTTGTCAAATCCTGTTGGAAAATGAAATCTGCATCTCCATAAAGTTGATCAGCAGCAAGAAGCATGAAGTGCTCTAAAACTTCCTGGTAGACGACTGCATTGATCTTGGACCTCAGAAAACACAGTGGACCAACACCAGCAGATGACATGGCACCCCAAACCATCACTGACTGTGGAAACTTGACACTGGACATCAAGCAATGCGGCTTATGTGCCTCTCCTTTTCCTCCAGACTCTGGGACCTTGAATTCCAAATGAAATGCAACATTTACTTTAATCAGAAAACATAACTTTGGACCAATCAGCAGCAGCCCAGTCCTTTTTGTCTTTAACCAAGGCGAGACACTTCTGACACTGTCTCTTGTTCAAGAGTGGCTTGATACAAGGAATGCAATAGCTGAAACCCATGTCTTGCATATGTCTGTGCATGGTGGTTCTTGAAGCATTGGCTCCAGCTGCAATCCACTCTTTGTGAATCTCCCACACATTTTGGAATGGATTTTGTTTCACCATCCTCTCCAGGGTGCAGTTATCCCTATTTCTTGTAGACTTTTTTCTACCACATTGTTTCCTTCCCTTCTTCTCTCTATTAATGTGTTTGGACACAGAGCTTTGTGAGCAGCCAGCCTCTTTTGCAATGACCTTTTGTGTCTTGTCCTCCTTGTGCAGGGTGTTAATGGTTATCTTTTGGACAACTGTCAAGTCAGCAGTCTTCCCAATGATTGTGTAGCCTACAGAACTAGACTGAGAGACCATTTAAAGGCCTTTTCAGGTGTTTTGAGTTAATTAGCTGATTAGAGTGTGGCACCAGGTGTCTTCAATATTGAACCTGTTCACAATATTCTAATTTTCTGAGATACTGAATTTGGGGTTTTCATTAATTGTCAGTTATAATCATCAACAATAAATGAAATAAATATTTGAAATATATTAGTCTGTGTGTAATGAATGAATGAATATAATATAGAAGTTTCACTTTTTAAATGGAATTACTGAAATAAATCAACGTTTCCATGATATTCTAATTTTATGACCAGCACCTGTACACTTTGGGTCAGACCACATGCCACATGCACAATGTGCACGATGCAGGACAACTGTGATTTATATAAATTGTCTTAATGTCACAATTAGTTCTATCAGTTTTACAAATACAGGGATAGCAGTGGAGTTATTATTTGCCTTGTTTAAAATTGTATAACTAGAATTTGATCGTTTTAGCATATTCTTTTCCACACTTCAGAAAAATAAAATCCAACAAGTTGATTGCTATAGTGTCAAGTATTTTGTTTTGTTCTGCACTTACAAATTCTTTGTGCATCTAAAAATAGAACCTGTTAGAATTAATTTCTTAACATGAAGAAAGTGCCCTCTTCTGCCACATTTTGTGCCACAATAGCCACCAACAAACTTAACAATTTACCTCTTGCCTTTTATTGTGCTTTGGCTGCATTTATTGGAATGAGGGATGGATGTTGGAAATAAAAAGAAAAGGGTGATCCTGACTCAGAGCCTGTCCCCGGATGGTGGCCTCAAAGCAATGCTTGGTTGTCTGCAGAATGTACCTTGAAGGATGTAAAATGTCTTTTCTTCTCCTTTATTTTTTTGTCTCTTTCCTCTTTTTTCCTTTTATTTGATCTCACCATTTCGCTCTCTCTCCCGCCAGATTGTATCAGGATAGACTGTAGCCTCAGTAAGTGGTTCTATCCATTTTTCTAAACAAAATGTATCTGTTAGTCATCCTGGTTTGTGCGGTGGCACCTTCTGCTCACTCATGATTACTGATATCTCTCATTTCCTGATTTTTGTTGTTGTTGTTGTTTTGGATTACACGTATTTTCTTTTTGTTCCTTGGCTTTTTTATTTGTGTGTCCTAGAGCCTGATTTTTTTTTTTCCCCGTTTGGAAAAAACAAATCTCACTTGTATTTTTTTCTTCTTTCCATGAGTTTTGTCACTGTAATTTCCCCATTCCTCTCACAAATTGAATTAATGGGTTACTTGCACAATTATGAGGTATAAAATTACATCATTGCCCTTTGTTACAACACACACTATCAGTTTCCTACCTCTCTTCTAACACACTGGGGGGAGGCCAACATGGCACTAAACAACTGATATTGCTGTTTTGAGAGGTGGGTACTAGAAAACATTGAATGTTTGAGCCATAAGCATTGGTGCTACTTGTTTTTTATTTATTTATGTATTTTATTGGATGGGGCAAATTGTAGTTATGGCCCTGAGAACACAAACTGTTTATCTCCTGTGTGTTTTTGAAAGAAGTTAATGTTTTTCAACCTCATGCGTAAGCCTGTCGCAATAAACAATAAATCAGTTAATTGCATGATAAATGAAAATTATCAACTTCATTTTCATTTATTGGCTTTATCGTTTCTTCGTGTCTCTCTCTTTCTACTTAAGACACTGGATGACAAAAGGCTATGTTCTAGTGCTCTTCACTGACCCCTCCCTTTCTCTTTTATCTTTAAAATCCATTTTAATCATCCAAAATCACATTTTTGGATCGTTAAAAGCAGATAAGCTGAGAAGCTAAGCTACGAGCTAAGCTAACAGGCCGACCTCAGGGGAAAAAAACACAAAGT